CGATGATGACCAAACTGTTCTCCGAAATCCGAGGTAATGAATCTTGATGTGAGAAAAGTTTTGCAACTTCGTAATCCAATTTGATGAGCACAGGAGCGGTCGAAACAAGGTGCTTGAGCTCATTTTGGGCCGCTTCTGCTTCCCTTGAAAAGAAGAACTCCTGCTGCACTGCTATTTTCATGAGAAGCGTCAGTGGTTTTGCGATAAGAGAAGAACCACGTATCCATTTTCTTCCTACACCAGCTGTACCAAGGAAAGAGCGAACGTCGGTGACACTTGTCAATGGCCCCCAGTTCAAGGTTTTTGTTACCAAACCGTGCTCAAGGTGCCAGCCTTCCTTCGAAACAATAGTCCCTATGATGTGTAATCGCGGGGTCGCAAGAACTAGCTTCTTTCCTGACGCAGTGACACCTGCTTTAATATTCTGCAAAATAAAATCATAAGAGTCTGGTGGTTCTAAGTCAGAAATGAAAGAGGGAGAGTCAAAACCATAAGTCCCCATCATTGCATGAAGTGTGCACCCAAGAGTTGGAACGGGCATGTCCTGGTCAAGTCCAGGCTTGGGATATGCGCCCGTCTTCATTTTCCTGTGTTGACATCTTCAACCTCTTCAATTCTTGGTCTTCTATCCAGGTTGAGGGTAGCTGTATTATGAGGAGCGCCAGGCGTGCAGAGAGGAATTTATGGAAATGCACTCCAGGCAGCATTAACTGAAGGTCATGAGGCCATTGCAAAGCTGCTGATAGAGAAGAGGGCAGATGTAAATGCACAGGGAGGAGAATATGGAAATGCACTCTACATAGCATCAAATCAAGGCCATGAGGCTATTGCAAAGCTGCTGATAGAGAAGGGGGCAGATGTAAATGCACAGGGAGGATATTATGGAAATGCACTCCAGGCAGCATTAACTGAGGCCATGAGGCCATTGCAAGGCTGTTGAAAGAGAACGGGGCAGATGTAAATATGATGGCCCTGTCAGATTATGGCAGTGATGATTCATCGTCAGATGATGACTAGCTATCTAGGATGCTGAAACCTCTCCACAAATGTTAAGGTAGAAGTATTCTTGGTATGTTTAGTATAAAAAAACATTGGGATGAAGTTTTGTGACTTGTATGCCAAAGTATGACACTTTCACCCCTGGTATTGGAATGTAGCTAGAGAGCAATATAATGTTTTAAAAGCAATTTTCTTGCCATTTTTGTTATAATGGAGAGGTTTTCATCTTTGAGCATATGCACCAGACCTTGAAATTGGTTCTCCAATGACATCTGATGACTAACAGTCAGCACAATTCCTATTTTCCCCTCATTCTCTGCCTCTATTTCATGCAGATTTTTTATATTTGACAATATACACTGCACTCTGAAAACAGTATATAACATCAGCAATGGTGAGCACAACTATTTTTCCTTTATTATTAACACATCTGGTTTGAAAATCTACACTTCTAGTACTTTTGCTCAGGGTGTTTGAAACTTTTTTTTAGTGTTGCACAACTTTCAACTCACCACTCAATCATACACCCATAATTTTGGTTTTTCTTCATGAAAAGTCATTCGAGCACTCTGGAAATTTATACAATTATAGAAGGGCATTTATCTCAAATTAGTTTCTGTACTGAATGGTTGTGCTTGAATTTGTTGAAGGTAATTTCCAAATTTCACTGTTTCTTAGCCAGTGGATGCACACCCAAAATTCAAACATGTCTCAAGAACAAGAAAAAAACCTGTCAAATTGTAGTGTACTTAATAGTTTGTCAAATGTATGTGGTATCGTGAGGGGGATACTGCACAGTGGCACAACAGATAAATAAATGGTTAGATTCAGACAGGGCAATGAAGGAACGTGGGTGGGTGGGGTTGTTGGGATTAGCTGGGATTCAAGCCAGGGGGGAAAACTCAGAGGCTGAGGGTGAATTTATAGCTGGAGGGTGGAGAACTTGCAAAAGGGCAGTACTTATCACTCCTCCACCTATTCCTACTGGACTCCAGGACTCCAGTAGGATTCCCACTGGATTTCAACAATTCTTCCAAAAAAGGCATTTTCCACCTATTGGACTTCTACTGGACTTTAACAAAATACCAGAAAGTGAATACATTGCCTAGATACTGGATTCATACTGGACTTCTACTGGACTCCTACTATACAATTTACTATTACAGATGCCTAGAGCTAAATTCAGATCATGTGACTGATAATTAAGGTCATGTGACTATCTTGCCTTAGGTGTCATCTTCAAAATCTGAGTCAACATCTTTCTCCTCTTCCATATATGGTCTCTTCATCTGCTTTTCCATCACATATTGGCTGTGGTAAAACAACATAGAATGCAAAAACCAGTCAAAATTGCCTTGTGTCATCCTCTTCAGGATAGACTCAAATCCACCTAGCCATGCATTTAACTGTTCACAGGCCTGTTTTAAAATTCATTAATTCTTGTATTTCATCACACATTAACTCAAACTTACCTGTGTGTTGAATCCTTGCTTGTAGTATGATCAACCATGTTTGTCTTTTTCAACAATGACAAGATTTGGAGCTGATCCATTCAATGGTGCAGGATTACACCATTTTCAACAAATACAATCACCAACACAGTGATTAATATAGTGGTAACTATCAACAATGAACCAAGTTGTATGTTTCCAAATTCTGTCCCAGCTTCCATTGCTTATTGCTGTTCATAATAATAGACAAGCCTTATCAATACAGATGTAATCTGGATGTGATTCAGCTGTAGAGTAAACTGATTCCAGAAAGTTAAGAATATTAGTGGGGGATTCTGACTTAGGAAATTTAGCCCAAGCAATAACAACACCACAAGGTGCAGTAATTGTCTCAACACAATAAAACCATGAATGATGAAAGTAATGGGTTCTTTCAATATCAGGTGTAGGCTCATCATGGCATTGGATATTTGGCTCTCTATTAGGTTGCCAAGGCATTCTCTCTCCAGGCCTTCTTAAAATCTGTCTAACACCAGATAAGGTATGTGTCAGACCAAGCTGAAAATACCAATTTTGACAAAACTAGGTATTTACCAGGTGAACAGGTGAAAAGTTTTAAATACCAGTCAACCCAGGGAATTTAATCCGGTCTGGGCAGTAGATACAGGTGAAGAACTAAATTGACGGCCATACAGTGTGCTTGACCAAAAGTTATTGGAAGCAGTGTATATGCGACCCATGTCCGTGTCATGGAACAAAGGGTGGGGTGGGTAGAGGTGCATGTCTAGGAGATTTCGCAGCACAGAGAGAAGGTTGTGATGATTGAGTATGTAAGATGAAGTGGCTCAAAGGAAGGTGAGTGGAAGTGGATTAGTAAATATGAGTGGTGAAGCGACATGGTGCATCCTTCTTTCACTTGGCCCACCCACAGACGTTGATCATGCCTCACTCATAGGAAGTCGATGTCAAAGGTACGTTCCTCCATATTTCCACCTCCTGCCCACTGACAAGCGAGGCTTTGTCAGCAACATCGGGTCTCATGCTGTGGAGATGGTGGCACCCAGCGTAACAGTTACATTGTGTCCAAGCTTGCTGTCCATCGCTTTACAGAGCTAGTCACTTCAGATTCTATTCACTCGATATATACCCAATTTGACCGTAATTGGTTTACCATCCCTCCCTCATAGTTATTGAAGTATCCCCTGCTAATACTGTACAATAATCTGTCATAGCTACTGCTCTTTGTTATCGAATACCGAAAAATCAGTCACAGCTTTTCTCAACTTGCTGGCTTGTTGGAACTTGTCAAATGATTTCACAACTCAACTTGTGAGATTTTTGGATCTACTTGTCAACTTGTGACTTGCAGCTTGTTTGGACTCGTTTGGACTCATATGAGTTGAAACAAGCCCAAACAAGTCGTGACAAGTGGACTGTAGAAATACTGATGTTATAGCTTGATGTGTGTGTAAATATGAGCAAATATGTGTCCTTGTGTCAGATTTGAGTGTGTGTAACAGTAGTGCTTGAAAGTCCAGTCCAGTCTGGTTTTTTGGCCCAAAACAAAAAGACCAAGACCAAGACTGGTCCACATGATTCCTAAAACCTCAAAAGACCGGACCAGGACTGGAAAAGACCAAGACTGTGGTCTTTTTCGGTCTTTGGACCGGTTTTGGTCCAAACTGGTTACAACCAGTTCAAGACCGGTTTTTCAACTAAGTATGCAATAAAATTTGCAATTGTGAGTTGGTAGATTTATTGACATTCTTCGTAGCTTCTAAACGAGTGCAAGAACGTTAAATTACGTTGAGAATTGATGTATGTATAAAAATACTAAGGAACATCTGCTATTTTCACAAAATACTTTACAGTTTTGTATGTATCTTTGTCAGTTTTTGGCCTAAAAATATGATCTTAGGTGCGTTTTGAAGGGTTATTATGTAGGTACAAAAAACCGGTCTTAACTGACAAGACTGGTCCACGTTAACTGGTCTTTTTGTGGTCTTGTGATCTCAAATCTGAAAGACCAAGACTGCAGGTCCGGTTTTTTGCAGTCTTGGTCCAGTCCAGTTGCAGTCTTTTTGTGTTAAAGGAGACGTCTCGTGACCTCATTATTTACGCGTACACTTTATTTGTTCATCCCCTTTTATCTTTTCTATTCCTCTTTTTACTTCCGTTATTTCCTAGTCTTTATGACTTCTTTACCAGTCTTTGTGCAAGCCACCATCCCCATCCTTTAAATACGAAAACTTTATTTCTTCTCACCTCAGTCGTCATAACACTTTGTGTCTGACTCTGAGGTGAGTTTACTTTACATATTATACTTTACTATCACTGACAACTACCTGTACATAGTTCTGTGTGTTTACAGGTAGTTACAAAATACAGTCATCATAACACTTTGTGTCTGACTCTGAGTTCCGTGCGTTTACAGGTTATGGGCCCCGAAGCGCATTAACAAACTTATGGAATTACAGACACTACCTGCTTTACCACTTTTACTTGCAACTCGTAAAGCCCACTTTACATCCCACATTACTTCCCACAAAAATGTCGTCCAACGCAAATCCACCTATCTTTGCCAATACCGAAAAGTTCGACGGCACAAACTTTGCCACATGGGAGCTGCTAATTATCATTGTGGCAACCAGTCGCGGTGTGCTAGGATACCTACAAGGGACTATCCGAAACCCTGCTCCGTCTGCATCCCCAACCGGCGCACTTACTTACATGCCTGCACCACTGGAAATACCCCTCCCTGACGATACCACACAATGGTACTCCTCCCATCCTTCTGTTGCAGAGTGGGCGATGTGCGATGCCTGGGTGCGTGCGCTACTACTCTACAACACCAAAAATCCTGTTGGCCTAGGTCTCAAACTTGATGGGACTGCTGCTGAAGCCTGGAACTCTCTCACCTCACAGTAAAAAATTTCATCTGACCTCACCGCCATCACCAGTCAGCGTGATCTTTGCACAACCATCTTCACTGATGGGAGCGACTTCCCAACCCACATCTCGAACCTTCGAACAAAATGGGCTGTCGCAAACAGCGCAGGTGCAAAGATTGACGATGCTGACTTCTGGATGATTATTCTATCATCCCTCCCTGCCTCCTGGGACAGCATTGTCGGTACTCTATATGAGGCAAAATCTTCGGCGGACATTATTAGTCGATTAATGATTCATTGGAATCGTATCGACCGCTTGAAGTCAGTGATGCATCCAAGCAGCATGGTCACAGCACTACAGACTAATGCGAGGTCAGCGCGAAACCAAATGCAGTGTACCAACTCAAACTGTGGACGGCGTGGACATACCATTGCCAACTGTTACTGGAAAGGGGGAGGAAAGGAGGGCCAGTTCCCTCCGGATTTTGGACGACGTGGGGGAGCACGTGGATTGGCGCCAACCATCACTCCCACTGTAACTGCCGCACTCACCGACACATCATCTATGTCGGAAATTACACTCGCTCTCATAGCTGATCTTGATAGTGACGAGTGTCTGTTGACCAAAGACGTGCATGTACACCCAAGTGAGGGAAGCAATGTGTTAGAGATTCACGCACCTGGTGAAATACTCTACACGTCGAAGGACTGTATCATCGAGTCTTACCCCGAGGGCACTTGGGGTCTTGAGGTACAAAACCCCACTCATGCATTAGCCGCGACAACGAATCCAGGCAACCATGACATCCTCACCTATGCTGATTCTGCTGCCAACAAGCACTGCTTTGTTGAGCACTCCGACTTCACCACATATTTCCCCCTCACAAAACCAGACGAAGGCCAACCTGTGAATAAAGGTGGTCAATTCCGTATCATTAGTCATGGGAGCATAACCAAAACAATTATTTCGGGTGCGTTGAGGATGACTATTACCTTTAAAAACGCGGTACACACCCCCGACCTCATAGCCAACCTTGTCTCAATCAGCAAGCTGGACGCCGCCGGTTGCTGGGCAATTTTTGGAGGAGGGGGGGTCCAGTTCTATGACCTTGTGAACGGAGTTCAGAGACTGCTGATGAAAGGCAACAGAAGTAATGGGATGTACCTGTTAAACGCCGAAGCCCCCACTACTGCCCTGGTGACGCAGTATACCCAAAAGTCTACATCCGTTGACGTATGGCATCGGCGTTTGGGACACGTCGGTGTCACATCTATTGTCGAGATGGCAAGGAAAGGTCTAGTTGATGGTCTTGACATTGTGGGAGATGTCAAGGTCCAGGGGAAGTGCGAGGATTGTATCTATGGAAAACAAACTGCATGACCATACAAAAGCCTGACGGAATATGAGAAGGACGTACTGCAGTGCGTATACATAGACCTATGGGGTCCTGCACGAGTCCGTTCCACCGGGGGAGCTGAATACATGATGGTATTCAACGATGGCGGTTCCTCTTTCTGGCAGGGCTATTTCCTGACGAACAAGGCCAGTGAGACGACGATGGACGCATTCGAGGAGTTCCATGTGAGGGCAGCCCAGGCTGTAGTTTTAGACCAAATTGACCTGGGATGTTCCACCTTATTCATTTCCATAGGGTGTGCATTTGGCCACTGGCCCAAAATGCCATAGGCTGTGGAACATTGGGATATTTGAAAAAAAGCCTTTCAAAAATAAAAACCATTGCACCTATAATAAAATATACCCTTAGAATAGGTTTTCTGCTTATAATATCACTCTACAGCATCTATTTTTAGCCTGATATGTTTGTCATTTATTACAAATCTAAATATAGCTCACATCTGTTTTATGATTAAAAATTCTCAGAAACGGTATATTCTGGATCACTGATATGTTTTCTGTATGTTTTGTCTACCTAAAGAGCATCCAGATATGTTTTTTCCTGAGATCCAGAATGTTTGTAATTTATTACAAATCTAAATATAGCTCAGATCTGTTTTATGGTTTAAAAATCTCACCTCCTGGATCAGCATTGATGACTGGTATGTTTTCCTGTATTCTGTGGATGTTTTTTCTTGCCTAAAGAGCATCCAAATATGTTTTTCTGGGGATCCAGAATGTTGGTGATTTGTTACAAATCTAAATATAGCTCAGATATGTTTCATGATTGAAAATTCTTGAAAAATGCTACATTCTGGATCACCATTGATGACTGGTATGTTTTCCTGTATTTTTTGTATCTTTTTCTTGCCAAAGGAGCATCCACATATAGTGTCATAATCCTTTCAAAAAAGCTGCATTTCACCAGAATATTCCAATTGTAATAATTCTCATTTTTCTCCATCAAAACTTGTGTTACTATGTTTGTTCAGGATATTGAAACTTTTTCAGTGTTGCACGATTGTTGGCTCACCACTTTGTCCCATCCTTTCAATTTTTTGACCACTCGATGTACATTTTTGTCTTCTATACGAATATCGACTTTTTTGTACTGTAGATGTGTTATGTTCACTGTCGGAGGCGATCTGGTACTCAGGGTTCAAAAATATCAGGATATTGAAACTGTTGTCACACCAGATCACAAGGACTTTGGCTGGACGATGATGACAGTTTGGCGTGCGTATGTCACGCAAATGTCACGCTTTAACGCCATTTGCGAGCGAAATTTTGTATTTTGCACTCCCGCCCAACAGCACTTCATCTTTCTCTCTAGAAATTTGTATTTGAACTCTCACATATCATTTTAATGTAATTGGAAAGTGTCAGAATAAACAATCAAGCCGATCTGGAGGGATCTGAGAGAACATTCCAATACTTTTGTTTGGCTGGTGCAATGAAAACCACAAATCCATGTCTTAAGAATGCAATTCTTTGAATGCATCTCTAAAAATTTAAAGTTACAGAGAGAATACACAAATACACTGGTCTCCAGAATTTGAGAACCTCAGAGTAGGTGGATGCAAAGATAATCCGCATTTTCAATATCCCGACGAGTTTCAATATCATGGGCAAACATAGTACAGCTACTCAAAGCTACCAAGTAATGTAGAAATATATTTTCGATTTTTTCAAAAAATTTCCGCCTCAATCAGAGGTGTAGAGATGATGGATGCACAAGTCATGTTCCGGATGACCTTTTGTTCTTTGATCCTTCGAGGTAACAAACAACCATCAACAATGAGCGGAATCATGAAAAGTGCGCTTTTGAGGCTGTCATTCAATATGTTGATGGATTTGACTTCATACTTCTTCAATTTCAATTGGTTTGTATCATATAGTATGTATTTTATATTTTAATTCAGCAGCCTTTCGGATGGATGGCTCATGTTCCAGCTGGATGACGTTGCCAAAGGCGTTGCCACATAAGTACAAATAGTTGCCCCCTAGTGCCCAGATCTTCAAAAGGCAGAGTTATTCATCCTCTACAGTTGTATTTAATGGGAAATATACATTTTAGTACTCTAAAAGTAGAACAGAATCCAATCTTTCATGTTTTACATTCACGGCACCCTCGCAAGTGGATGGATGCGACATAGTGAACTTGGATGACATGTTTGAAGCTGTAGCCAAACAGATGCAAAGTTCTCAAAAAAACATCGGAAACACAACTAAAATTGAGCCAGGAGAGGAAGGGAACACTACACTGACATTGGTAATACATGTCAGTATGTTTGATTTACAACATTGGACTTGCTCTTTTATCAGAAGTTGGCTAAAAATTGTAGAGAAAGAATTATCTTTATCAAAAACATATCATTCCAGCAGCTTCTAAGTTAATACATGCCAGATATAGCCTACCAGCATTCAGTGTATAAGTAAAAGAATATTAGGACAGGCAGTGTCAAATTATGAGTGAAAGAACACACCTGAAGGTCTTGTTCCAACTTTTTAATTTTTAGGAGGGTTACAAAACATAGAATTGTGCTCTGCTTGCCCAATTTTCAGGGAATCAGATTTACCTCTTCCTACCTAAAGGTGGATGTTCATATAAGCTCTGTGAGTACTGTATTCACTTTGGAAATGAAGGATTCGTTGTGAAAGTCTTTGAATAGGGTGTATTTCTTGTGACTTTAACTATACTGTGTCCACTCAAATCATCCAATGGTCATGGAATTTACATAGGAGTCTTCAGAGTCAGAAACTGAATGGATTCACAAATTTTTATGGAAAATCAGAGCATTGTGGAGATACAGGTAATGGCATAGGTGTGTAGATGGGTCACAATAAAGCAACTGCAAGTGCAGTACTTTATTGTGCCCTACCTATTCCTGTCGGACTCCGGTCATTCCTGCGGATTCCGGTGGAATGGGACCGGACTCCAGCGGAATCCACAGGAATGGGACCGGAATCCAGTGGAATCCACTGGAGTCCTGCGGAATCCACCAGAGTCCTGCGGAATCCAGCGGAATCCAGTTGAATAAGACCACAATCCACCATAAATAGCAGTACTTTACCCTCCCCCACATGCTCTGATCAGAGTATCTACAATCAGAATGGATCAGCACTGATCTAGAGGTCAGGTGACTTGATCTGCATTGATTCAACTCAATACTCAGAATTTCTTATAAAATTCACATCTAGTCAAGTCATTCATCTCAATAAATCAAATTTTAATGTATTTTATTAATGACATGAGTCTATCTTACTACATATAGTGCATATTAAAGAGGACAAGGAAGAGGGGATGGATAAGGGGCAGGGACAAGGAAATGGGGAGGGACAGGGAAGGGGGTATAAGGAAATGGGGAGGGACAGGGAAGGGGGCAGGGAAAAGGAAGGGGGCAGAGACAATGAAATGGGGGAAGGGGGTAGGGACAAGGAAATGGGGAGGGACAGACAGGAAAGGGGGGAGGGAAATGGGGGTACATGGAAATGGGGAGGGACAGGGAAGGGGGATGGGAGTACATGGAAATGGGGAGGGACAGGGAAGGGGGGCAGGAAAAGGAAGAGGGGCAGGAAAAGGAAGGGAGGGACAGGGAAGGGGGAGGGACAATGCACTCGTCGTCGTCGTGTGATGTCATGGTGGCTGTTAGCGAGATGGGATAGGATGAAGGAGAGTCAGGGGACTCACCTTTGTGTGAACGACGAACGACGACGAGAACGACGACATCGTCGTCGTCGTTCGTCGTTTGGTTGCCACGTCGCTGACAGCGACGTGGCACCTTGGTTTCCCATCGGCGGGGGCCGTCGTCGTGCGTTGATGTGGGTGTCCGTTGGCGTGGTCATCGTCCGTCGACGTGGTGGTGGTGCGTTGACGTGGGCGTCCGCTGGCGTGGTCATCGTCTGTCGACGTGGTGGTGGTGCGTTGACGTGGGCGTCCGTTTGCGTGTTCGTGTCGTTGTTGGCGTTGGCGTCTGTTGACGTGGCCGTCCGTTGACGTCGTGGGGCGTGTCGTGGTCCGTGGGCGTGGTCATGGTGGTCGTGTGTTGACGTGGTCGTCCCTCGCGGTCCGTTTTCGTCGCCTCGACCTCGCCGGGGCTCGTTTGCTTGCTGACGTGGCGTTGCCGCGTTGTTGTTGACGTGGTTGTTGTTGGCGGTCGACGACGTTTGTGGGCGGTGGTGGCCACAGGTGACCGTGGTGACGTGGCGTGGGTGGGTAGCGGGCGCGCGTTTACGAGGAGCGGGGACGATGGTGGTGGTGGGAGTAGAGGTTGGTGGTGGTGGGAGGAGAGAGGGTTGTGTTTGGACGAGCGTGAAAGCCGTTGCCAAACAAACAATTGTTTGGCAATGGGCTTGTGCCAAACAAACCGGATTCCGGTTGCATTCCGTTTTTGCCAATCCGGGGACCATTCCGGTCACAATTCCGGAATGCCGAAATTCCGCCGGAATGGTAAAGCACCGGAATGAAGAAAATAGCAGGCCTCTCTGCTAAATTTCACTCCTCCGGAATCCACCGGAATCCGCAGGAATGACCGGAATCCTGCAGGAATTAGGGGGGCACTGATAAGACCTCTGCAAGTGCCAGAATCTCAGGTGTAGATTGAAATTCTTGTGACTTTTACACCCTCCCCATTAAACACATAGTGCTACCTATCTCAAATGCTAATCATATTCCTCAGAACCTCTAAATACATTTTTCTTCATTTTCTCCTTCCCAATAACGAACGCAGGAGCAACTTGCGCAGCTCGCCACCAGCGCTCGGAAAATGCCGAGCACTGTTGATGCGTGGTTGAGCATGCCACCCCTTCTGTTCAACCAGCATGCTACAAACGACTCACCATCATCCACGGCCACTCCGTCAACCAATCCTCTGAAATCCAAGGTCGCCCTTGGTTACGTATCTCAATGTTTGCGCAGGGATCAACCACTGGATGAAGGACCTGGGGATGTTCGCGTTTCGCGAACTCTATGTTGGTAAGCTTATTCTACATGAGCTCCCCGTCATTTCTCATTGGATTGTCCATGCCAACAGCACCACCACCGGACCGTTGGCATGCCACGTCGACGTCAACTTGCAGAACGACGGCACCCATGACGCCAAGAGCCGATGACGGTGATCCACCATCACCACCCTCCACCAACGACGGCGACCGCCCACCCCAACCATCACAATGGCCATGAGTGCCCATCAGTTACGGATGGCGATGAGCGCCCATCCTTGCCACTCAAGCTACAGGTGACCGCCCACCACTACCACAACAGCCATGTCATCACCAATCAAACCACAGGCGACCGCCCACCACTACGACCACAACGACCGTGAGTGCCTACCACCCACGGATGGCGATGAGCGCCCGCCATCATCACCACTCTAACGACAACGGGTGACGAGCACCCATCACCACCACCAACCCAGACAACAGCTGCCATGTTGCCGACAGCGACATGGCAATCAAATGACGAACAACGACCAATTCGTTGTTCGTCATCACCGGATCGAGGACCATCGGACTTGACTGCGTCAAGAGCGAGGTGGAAGCACATGGCAGCAAGCGGGTTGATGGATGCGAGGGTCGCGTTGCAGTAGCTGATCTTCAGGTGAGTATACAGCCCTCTCCTCCTCACTCCTTGCTCTGACAAATGACAATGTCAGATGTTATTTCCCCCAATTGACGACAACGGACCACAAGGGATGAGGGACCATGCGACCACGACAGACGAGCACAAAGCAAACAGACGACCACAGACCACGATGTACCACGACGATGCGAGGGCCACCGCTACGGACGACAATGCATCACCAATGACCACGACGGACGAGCACAAAGCAAACGGACGACCACGGACGACGACCACAGACCACGATGTACCACGACGATGCGAGGGCCACCGCCATGGACGACAATGCACCACCAATGACCACACACGATGGACAATGGTGACCATGACTAGATGAACCAACGTGACACAACCACGCCTCCACGACCACACAGCACCTACCACGATGGACCACCACAATGTGAAACGACGCCACAGAGGACCAGCCCGATGAACGCGACGGGGACCACCATGACAATGACCACGACATAAAATGTACCCCTTTCTGCTCATTATACATTGGTAGATACTTTATTACGCACTTACTACCATCTTTTTGCCTGTCCATCGTGTGGTAGAGTAGCTACACTATTTAATTCAATCTGTTTGCATCTGTGTACCAATGCCATCTAAGGCCCAGAGTCATCCGAAAAGGGTTTGTCGCATCCAGCTATTTTGGTCTGATTTGACAGAGGGAAAGTATCTGGAGTGGTCTGAACAATATCGTGCATATAATTGGTGAGGTTTCAGAGGTGGTTTTTAGGAGGAACAAAGCTGTACGACATCTATATCTCCTCAGAACTAAAACTATGCATTGTTGACAATTGTGTACCAAAGGCATCAAAAGTCCCATCAGATTTGACAGAGGGAAACTATTTAGGAGTGTCAGAACATCATCAAATATATATATGGTAAAGTCTCAGGTGTTCTTTCTAGGAGAAACAAAGCTGTGGGAATGTAAATGTCTCCTCAGAATTAAATAACAAATATGTACCCATATAATATCAACAATACCTCTTCCCACCCACCCTACAGCAAGCTGTGCATTAACCCACATCCTGACCAAGTGGTCAAATGCACTCCCTATGGAAATGAATAAAGTGCATTATTGCAGGGTATAAGGCATAGGGCTACAGCCAAGGGTGGATAAGGTATGGTTCTAGACCACCGGCCTCGTCAGCTGTTGCCTTTGTTGCATCGGGTCCTCCATCACTCTTTGCTTGGATGCGCGCACAGGGTTGATTGAGTGCCTGCAGTTCGTGCATATTTAGATCTAGGACATCATTTCGTGTCGTATATAGGCACACAGCATTTCGGAAAAGAGCCTGTGTAGCGGGATCAAGTCTCCTTTCAGCTCGAGAGTCCAGAAGAGTCCAGTCTTCTTGAGTTAGACCACCCTTTGAGGCATGTAACAGAAGCTTCCGAAAGTTTTCCTGTTCTATAGAAGCACCTTGCTGTCTGTGAATAACACGGAGACAAAAACTGGACACAAATAGCCAGTAAAGTGCACTGCCATCCCGGCTTAGGGCACCATTATCAGTTGTAGCTGTTGAAGGTGGAGAATAGAGGGGAGTATCACCGATGGGAGGGAGTTGTGGGAAATCTCCAAACAAAGCAATGTGAAAGCCACCAAACGGCATATTTGCTGAGTAAGGACGAATCTGTCAAAGGTGAGAATCAATCATAGCAAGTGTACGAAGGCCGAGCATGGACTTTTCATCAATTATGATGAAATGAACACCCTGCCACTGAAGCTGAAGGTTCGCTAGGCGACTCCCAGTAAGCCGCACAAACAACCCAAGGGTGGGGAGAAGAAGGGCTGAATGGTTCGTCCTTCCACGAACATTGAGAGCTGCAACGCCTGAAGGTGCGAGGACCCGAATGGGATCAGGCTGCTCATGTTCAGCTGCAAGTTGGCGAAGTTCCTGACAGATAGCCACGATAAGGTAAGTCTTTCCACAACTGGCAGAACCATCAACATTGATAAGCGATTGTGGGATGATCGTTTCACCATTTCCTGCCAGTATCTGCCTATAGGCGTTGATACGCTTTGCACGGGGATGAACGTGAAAGTGCAAAACATGCAAACAAGGATCAAGCGCGTCGGGGGAAAACCCTAAACACCTAACACTCACTCACACACACACACACACACTATCACAATCTCGGTGCAAGAGTTCGAGGGCCTTTGGTATTAAGAAATACCACTTTTGTCTTCTTAGGTTCAAGTCTCAAGAGTTTTCGTTCAAAATTGGGTTTTTATTATAAGGTGTGGTTTAGAATAGTTCAATAGAACAAAGTATATCTTTCTGGGAACTTGGTCTCTTAAATGCAAAGTTCTTTGATCACAGTTTCTTTTATTAACACAAAACACGACTTTAATTGACTTTTATGACTCCCGTGAGTTTTTATTATGTCACTACGCTCCAAAACCAAGGGTACGAGTACGCTGTCTCGTCTAAAATGATACTGTGTCCTTAAAACCTCTTATTCAAAAGTCTCCAAGCAAGTTGACTCCCAAGCACGCTGGCTTCGTTCACACTGTACTTTTCTTGACCACGAAGAAATCTCCTTTAATTGATTACAACTGTCCACCTCCTAAGTCTCTACTTGGAGTGCAACTAGCTGGTCAACGGGGGACGATTGCTTCCCTTTTGACCTGCCAGCGCGCTCCTTATATACTCCAGGAACCCCTATCTATGTTTTACATGTGTTTTAATGCGGGATACTTCGGTCCGAATTACAAATATGAAATTTAATGAACGTGTGGTATATTTTGTAGTCTATCTCTGTGACACTACAGATTTTGTAGTGTCGCGTCTTTCATTTTCAAACGCATCA